CTCTCTCTCTCTCTCTCTCTAGCTTGATGTTCTGTGGTGCTTTGCAGCCAGCGCTTCATTTTTGGAATCATCCTCATCCTCATCCGATGAACTACCAGCGTAGAACAACAGCAGAGGGAGCTGTTGGGATCGTCTGGCGGCGTCCGGTAGGCCCTGAAACGGCCAAAAAATACCGGGGGCATTTTTGGGGGGTGGCCTAGGACCCGAAAAATGCCCTAGGCCCCCCCCAAAAAAAATTCAAATTTTTCAAAATTGGGCCCAGTCCAGACCTACCGGACCAGACACCGGACCCATACCCAGACAACCGGACCGTCTGGATTCCGGTCCAGACGTCCGGCCGGTTGCCATGGGTCAGACCTTTTTTTTTTTTTTTTTTTTGAAGTTTTTTTTTTTTTTTTTTTTTTTTTTTTTTACATTCCACGGCAAATCCACGCCACTTTTTTTTTTTCATGTTTTACATGAGAAACTCATGCACGCTCCTCCCCGTTATGGCTGGGAGGCCCGAGTGGACGGCATTGATTACTTCCTTGGGGAAGGATGTACCACCCCTCGCCCCTGCCTAAGTTAGCGTGTGCTGCTTAAAATGCCTTGTTGTTGCCCATCTGTCTTTCCCCAGTCTCGCTCCTCTCAGCCGTGGCGCTGTCTGGTTGGTGTGTTATGCTAGAGCGATCTGGCTCGCCTACAAGTCTTTTGAAATCTCTGAGGCCCTAAGGCCTATTTGTCCTGTCTCTGTCTAAACCTTAAACCCTGAACCCTCAGCTGTAATGCTGCTGTGGTTTACCTGTTCCTAGGTCCTAAAAATGTAAAGCAAGTGTTGTTCTTAGGCTCTAAAACCCTAAACCCTGAACCCTCTTCCTCTCTCTAGCTTGGGGTGTGAGCCCTTCCTTTCTCTCCGATGACTGTTTTTACTAGTACTTTCCTCTAAATTTCCCCTTTTTGAGAACACGCTCACGCTCCTCCCCCTTCTGGTGTGGAGGCCCGCGGGGCGGCATTGATTGCTTCCATCAGGAAGGATGTACCCCCCCTCACCCCTGCCTAAGTTAGCCTGTGCTACTTCTCTCCTATCTTTTACTAATTGGGAATTCCGTTCGCTCTAGTGTTTGGGGCTTGATTTTTGTGTTCCTTCCGGTTCGTGCCTCTCAGCTCCTTAGCTGCCTGTTTTTCTTTTTGTGTTAGTACTTCTGATAGGGCTGCTTGTGTTAAATTCTCTTTGCACTAAATTCTGTGAGGTTTACACTTGCTGTGGTCCTTGCTATAACCCTGGCCCTGGCTCGCCTACTTATTCTTGTAAGCCGTGTCTGTATCTGTTGACATAGGGATTTTGGATTCCTGAGGGGGTTATGATGCTGCTTTGCAGCTTTAGTGAATTCTTTCTTTTGAGGTGCAAAGTTTCCTTATGAGGTTCTGTGTTTGGTACTAAGGTTGGTTCTTTGGGGTTCCTATGGTTGGGGTCTTCGGGGGGCTAGGGTCTAGTCTGTTAACGTGAATTCAGGTAGTAGGGTGCTCTTGTTCTGCGTTGAGAGGCTGACACTGTTTTAGGGCTATCTGCTGTTGTTTGGTTTGCTTAACGGAGCCAATGGACTCCTGTGACATGGGATCTACTTTGAGGCGGGTCTGAGGGCTGCGGTATGGTTAGTCTATTGTGTCTCCATTGTCCGAATTGTATTCTGTCCTGGGAGATTGTTGCTATTCTCCCTTCCCCTAGCTGCTTTTTGTTAGAAACTTCAATAATTTTGTCTTTATCAACTAGATTCTTCTCTATTTTCCTACACACTCTCTTCCAGCGCCCTCTGTATTCGATCTCTAATATATTTAGGACCTCTTCCCATGTTTCCTGCACCTGAATTGACGTGCGGTCTAACGTTTCTTGACATCTTCTTTTCCATATCATCCATAACGTTGCCAGACGTAGAATGTGAAAGAAAATGGTCTCGTGTCCCTGCCAATTGGGTGGGATGTGCAGGCCCAGTAGGAGAGTAAGAGGGTCTGTAGGGAGGGTTTTGTTTGTGATTATATGCCAGAGATCGTTTGTGTTGGACCAAAGTTACTCTGCTTTCGGGCAGTGTATTAGGCAATGGCCCACGTCTTCTACGCGGCCTTCCAGGCAGATTGCACATAGCTCTTGTAACGGGGTCCTGGCTTGAAAGTTTCTCCTCTTGTTCAACCATTGGTTAACTGGGAGAGCCAGGTGGGCGAGTAGCCACTGGGAACTTCTAATTTTGACTTGGTTGATGTTTAGAAACCCAGTCCAGGGGATGTTCGGGATACGATTCTGGGTAAGATCAAAATGTGCCTCCCATCTTTGGCCTACGATTTGGGTTATGGGCTGCGACCTTGTCCTTAGTGCGTAGCCTAGTTTGGTTGTGTATTCCAAGATGTTGGTGCGCTTTTCTATGTTGAACCTCCCTGATTTCCTGTTCCACGCCCATTCCACTGGGTCAATCTCCAAGTCCTCGATATTGGTTTGTGAATTGTAGATTCGGTGGTCCTGCGTTTCTATTACCCTCACCTTCCTTAATGTCCGTTCATGCTAGGCCACTTCCCCTGTGGAGTTTTTGCTTAGTAGGCTTGTTGATGCGCTTGGGTCCTCGATTGTGTAAATATCACATATGAGCCACTCGTTTCCTGTGCCTTCCCTGGGAACTTTTGGTGGGCTCTCGGCCTTCTCCGTAGCCCACTCTCCTGCCTTCCATAAGTATTGGCTTCTGAGAAGTCTAAACCAGCTTTCAGGAATTGAAATTAAAATATGGTTGAGATTCTCTTGCAGGTTGTGGCAACCTTTTAGCTGTTCCCTTAGTTCTCCTGCTGTCTTCCATCTCGATTCCTCGTTGTGCCATAGGTGCTTGATATGCCATACCCCTTTTTCTACCCACGATCCCCATCTTGAGTCTTTGGCTGTTAGGGTCCAAGGTTTCCCTTGTGTGTCCAAAATCCACTGGTTGCAGAAGAGTGGTTGTCTGAGCACTTCTTCCTTGGCTGTGGGTTCCCTTACTTTCGCTAGTAATATCTCTCTCCATGGTTTCAGTAGGTTTCGCCAAAAGTCATTATCGTCTGCTTCCTCTTCTTCCAGTTCTGTTGTTCTGATTGTGCCCCTCATTGCCCATGATTTAGCCATGATCCAAAACAAGCCTTTCATGTTGTCCAGAGTTTTGAATTTGACTAGTTTTTGTATCCTCCGTAAGGCCAGGTGGGTCCATGGTAAGTTATCGTACATGATTAGTTTGAGGATCCATTTGGATTGTAGTGCCTTGATCTGTGTTTCAGGATCAAGGATCCCTAAGCCTCCCTTAGATTTTTGGTTGACGACATACTTCCAAGCCACCTTCGATATGAATTGTTCCTTGGACGGGTTTCCTGACCAGAGGTAGGCCGCTGCTCTTCTCGTGAGTTGGTATTTAAGTTGTTTGGGGGGGCTCAAAATCGTTGCTGCATACCAGAGCATTGAGAAGATTGAGGCATTAAGGATCATGGCTCTATCGAAGATAAACGTGCACACGTTCGTCCAGCTACCTATTCATTATTACTAGTGTCATTGCTCGATTAGGGCCGTATTTAGACATTTGGATGCCCAGGAGTCTGAGGGGTTCGTTACCCCGGTTCCAGGTCATTCCTTCCCGGGTTCTTTGAGGTGTGTTCAATTGTGGATCCGTTAGCCACCAACATGATGTTTTGGCCCAATTAATTTTCATTTCTGATGCGAGCTGGAATGCTTGCATCACTCTTGTGAGTGCTTCAAAGGAGGAATTTGAGGCCCGTATAAGTACCGTTAGGTCGTCTACGAAAAGGATTGTAGTGGGCAGGTTGGGGGCGTGTGTTATGTCCTCTATCAGCCTTTCTATCGACGGGTCCTTTCTCAGGAAGGATGCAGTAGCTTCCATGATGAACAAGACAATAGGGGCGGTTAGGGTGTCTCCCTGTCTTACGGAGCGAGTCATGCGATAGGGTTGAGATATATGCCTGTTAACTTGTACTCGCCCTAAGGCATCCGAGTAGAGTATCTAGACCCATCTTCTGAAATTTGGTCCTACCCCCATTTTTTCCATGCTTTGTTGGAGGAAATTCTAGTTAACTTGGTCGTAAGCTTTTTCGAAGTCAAAAAAGAGGATTGTTGCATTCATTCTTTTGTCCTGTATGTATCTTACGGATTCTGAGAGAGTCATTACGTTGTCTAGGATGAATCTTCCCGATATGAATCCTGTTTGTCTAGATGAAAACAATTCCTTGTTATGGATTTGATTCTATTCGCTAGAAGTTTTGCCAGAATTTTGTATGTGACCGTGAGGAGCGAGATAGGCCTGTAACTCCTGATGTATGAGGGGTCTCCCTTCTTGTATAGGAGGGAGACTACGCCGGTACTTTGTTTTTCACCTAACGTCCCTCTTGCCCAGGCCTTTTCTAAATATTGGAAATATTCATTGCCTAGGACTGGCCAATAAGCTACCCGAAATTCTTTGGACAATCCGTCTATTCCTGGGGTTTTATTCGCTTTCATGGATTTCAGTGCTTCAAAGACTTCTTGTTCGCTAATGGGGGCATCGAGTGCTTCCGTCTGCTCCATTGATATTGTCCTATCAAGATGTGCGAGGAATTTCGCTCTGGCCTAGGATGTTTCCTGTTGTGGCTGGTTATGTTCTTTAGAAGTGTACAACTTCTGGAAGAAAGCCGCAGTTGTCTATAGCATTAACTGAGGGTCCGAAGTTGGGCCTTGGTCCGTTTGGAGTTTTTCTATAATAGTGTTTCTCGCGTTTGTTTTGATCTTATTGAAGAAAAACTTAGTCATCTTTTCTCCCTCCTCCCATTCCTTTATTCTGGCTCGCATCGTCAGACCCTTGTTCTTCCAATCTTCCCAATCTGAGAGCTCCTGTCTAGCTTGTTCTAGGACTGTTTCATATAGGCTGCATCATGGTGCGTTTTGTAGATTCCTTTCTGCTACTTTTACCGCTTAGCAGAGTTCTTTTGTCCTTGCCTTCCTTTTTGATGCTAGTACTTGAGACGCCCTAGCGATGGCTTCCGAAATGGTTGTGACGAGGTCCGGGAAGTCCTGGATGGAGTGGTCGTGGTTGATACATGCTGTTAGTACTGCCTCTCTTATCTCTTTGGTGTTTGAAATCGAGTTATTGATTTTGAAAAAACGTTTACCTCTGGTGGGTGACGATCCTAGTTTGGTTAGTGATCTAGCCCCGAGTAGTGGGGTAGGTCTCCTATCCCTATGCTATGAATAGTGCCTATGAGAGCATTTGAGATTAGGAAATAATCTATTTTTGATGACGAGATGTGTTGGCTTCGGTTCCTTTTGACATAGGTGAACTTCTTACTGTCTAGGTACAAGATCCTAAACAGGTCAATGAGATTTTTTTCAGTCATCAGGTCGTGGATAGACACTGCCTCGTTCCATTGAGTCAGTTCCAATCCTTGTGTACTTCCTGAAATGCGGTCCTTTGCTGGGTCTAAAGTCGCATTCCAGTCTCCTGCTAGGATAAGTTGTGTCATATGGTCGCATTTTGGTAGTATGTTTTCAATTAGTCGTGTTCGTTGGGTTAGGGTGTTCGGACAGTATACCGTGATCAGTCTAAATCTCTCTTCATAGATGTGGAAGTCAAGACTTGCCCATCTGCCATCTTCTGTGTCTATGCTCTCCGCCGTTTTGGCGGTCTTAGTTGCCGCCCTGGAGTTTGCATGGGTTAGGATGGTTACTCCGGCTGAATGGAACGCGGTGCCGGTGCCCAGATCCTTTCCTTTGCCCATTTTAGTCTCTCTAGTATTTGGGTCGGTGCTCTTTGGTGTTCATCCGATGTGGTCAGGTGTGTTTCTTGGAGGCACAGTATGTCTGGCGGAGCTTTCCCGAACCAGCCCATATCCTTGATTAGACTGTCCCATTTCCTTTGGTTTGTGAGCAGAGACAGCATACCGTTTACCTAGGCTACCAGCCGGGCCGCCCGGGTCCCGGTGGCCAGCCCGTGCAAGGACCAGGGAAGGTCCCAGCAAAAAAAAAAAAAAACAATAAAAAAAATCCGGAAAAAAAACTATGTTATGCAGAAAAATAAACTGAACAACTTTTGCCTCAGGGTCACATCGAAATTCTGCACCACATTTAGAAAACAAAATAAAGTTTAAAAATAATTTTTTTATTTTTATTTTTTTAATTGTTTTTGGCCCGGCCGGGCAAGTGACCCCGGGCCACTCTGGTAGCCTAGCCGTTTACATTCCATGAGATGATTTTTAGACCAGGTTCTGGTTTGCGGAGCGTGAATTTCCGTATTGCATGGGGGGTCTGTCCGGGTCTGTCCAAATCCTCCATGTTTGTAACTCAGATTCACCCTACGTCTGGTGACATAATGGAGTTCCTTAGGTGTGCCTTGTAGCGGTCAGACCCTTAATTCGAACCCGGTGCCAATAATTTTGGGTGTGAGAGGTTCCACAGCCAGAAGTTGGCACTCAACCCTCAGCAACCGGATTACAGGGAAAATGATGCGATTGCTGCTCATCGCTTCTGGATGTCCACCATTGCCATTCATCAGGATCTAACACCTGTTGTCCTTTAGCACATGAACTCAAATTGAAGCAATACAGAGAAGCTGAGCATGGCCCCTGCAGCATGATGAAGATACGCACAAATCGATGGTTTGTTACGGTTTTAACCCCTATTAGAATGTCCCTGAGCATTTGTGCACCTTGGTACAGATCATGTCCCTCGCTAGTAGGGTATCCAGGCGCATTCTGACAGGGGCAATCATAGCATTAAAAATGTAGTGTTGAATTGCGCTAATGGCCCTTGTGGATTTCCAGGTGCAATAGAATTCAATCGCTGAACGGGGTCCTTTTCCAATGGAAATTATGAAATATGTTTCTAAACACGAGACGCCACTATTGTCCCATTATTGCCAAGGCTTTCTCTCCTCTCAAACCACCAGTGCTTGGCCCATACATCGGCTGTGGGTCCTTGTAGTATACTCGCCGCATTAAGGGGCTTCGGGCCTGCTGGACCACAATGGCTGGCGTCACCAGGCAAACGAAAAAAGAAAACCCGCACTCGCGGTTCGACAAAACCTGGCGTGCAGGGCGTTTCCAGCATCAAAGAAAAGTGCCTTGGATGTACTGGTGGTTCAAGCCGCCACTTCAAGTTTCTTCCCGCATTACAAGACTTCATTGGGTGTTGTGAGCAACGCATAAAGCTCACTTCGGATGCACAGCGAGGCTCGTCCCTCAGTTTATTTAATTGGGCCACAGGAGGAACAGTGGGGCTCGCCTATCACCGATGCCCAGGGCCCACTGGCAGAGTTGTGTGTTATGTTGCCAACTTCGCGTGCACCTGGTCCACAATGAAGACCAGCAGGTTCTTTCCAAGCCTGTAATTCCACTAATTTGGCACTGGCAATAACTTGTTATTTCTTGCGAGATTTATCCGGTCACCAGCTGCCCAATTCTGCAGAAATTGCCAGCTGAGATCCTCGTCTTCCTCTTTCACCTTCTCCTCGGTAGTTTCAATTGATTATCTGCAGCACATTCAATTGCTATCCTGTTGGTCAATCATATGTTATCTTGTTGTTTTCAGTCCTACTGTGGGACCTACTGCAGTGTCCGGGGAGGTTCGCCCACACAGTGATTCACAGGAGTTCCGCTGGATAAAAATGTTGTGAACTGTGGGAATTGAACTTCTGCTGTGTTTCAGATGGAGGTTAGGGTGCACAATGACACCATGGAGTTCTTGAAGAGGAAGAACAGTGTGTTGAAAGAAGAAGCAGTCAAATGGGCGAATAAACATGAAGTGGACCACTTGATGATGGAAAAAAGGATAGAAAACCTGCTTGAAAACAAGTTGCAAGATTTACAGCTGCTAGCTGAGCTGGAAGGAAGGTCAGTGATTAAGTGCCTTGATTCACCTTCAGCATCAAAGCTATTCACTTTGATCATGCCACTGCATACATGTGCCCAAGGGGTAAGCTGTGTGTGCCCAAGGTTTAAGATGGTGTATTTATTGCTGAACACCGAAGGGTTAAGATGCCTGTGCCCAAGGGTTAAGAACGCCGAAGGGTTAATATGCATGCCTGTGCTGGGGAGAAGGGTTTTCGAGTGTGTTGTAATCTGTATTTCTGACTTGCCGAAGTTGCCAGTGGAATAGGAACTGGACTGATGCACAAAACAAAAAAACAAACAAAAGAAAAAGGAACCGGAGTTATCGGACTGATGCTCCCCAGAGCCATAAGGCCCTGTTTTTGTTACAAAAAAGAAAAACAAAACAAAAAAAAACGGATCCCTGTGCCCAAGGGTAGATGCCTATTTCCAAGAGTAAAAAACTTAAGATGCCTGTGCTCAAGGTAAAGGATGGCAACTTACCAACGGGCCTAGCTCAGTTGGTACACCCTTAAAACTGTTGGAATACAGACCCAAGTTCGAATCCACATACTCTCAGATGAACAGAACAAAAGGCTTGTGAATTACCTGGGGCCGGTCAGTTCCATGATGATATTTAAAGGCCGTCACCTTTTCTTGAAAAAAAAAAAAAAAAAAAAAAAAAAGATGGTGACTTGCTTGGTGGGTCAGGCAAACACGTGTAGAAAGATCTGAAAGATGCCACCGATTCCGTCACTATGGTTATGGTCGACTTTGCCACGCAAAGTCACAATCGATCACAGTGAAATTGGTCAGACAAAGTAATAATCGGTATCTCCAAACTTATCGCAAATACTTGTTGCCATCATGATCAATGATCATGCTTTTTTTTTTTGTGCTGTTGTCACAGAAAGAGTGCAGCAGGTCATTATGGTGATGTTTTTCGTCATGACGCGCACAGTTCTCACATTGCGCTTTCTGCCTTCGCAGATTTCTTGTTCAGATACCTGTTGCCCTGACCGCTGGACAGATGGTTAACAGAGGCCTGAGACAAAAACAGGCCCCCCCAAAAAAAAAAAATTCAGAAAGTTGACAGAAGCACAAAGTTTCGCAAACTACCGTCTTCACCCTAATAGAACGCCCGGTCATTATCTCTGCATCGGGACTGAAAGCTGGGCCGAATGCAGCTATAGTGACCGGGCGACGGGCGTTCTATTTGGGTGAAGACGGTAGTCATGCTTTCACTATTTTACATGGTTAACCGCATTAGCCCACTGTTGTTGCAGGCAAAATACCATTGCCCCCTTGTCACACTTGATGTGCATCGGCATAAGGAAATTATTGTTGCACTGTCACAACAGTGATGGTCGCTCATCAGGTTTCGCATCATCGTATACATAGATCATTGGAACATTCGGATCATCACGTCTTCGTATCACACAACTTGATCTTTGTGTCGTCATCGCTTGGGGGCTTATGACACCTTCATCATGAATGTCATGCATAGAGCCATATAAGATTTTTATCATCACGTTCATGCTTACTGTCACGACAAGCAATTCCTCAAGACCATGCACGGTGATATCCGGTCACCTCCAGCTCGTACTTGGCGAAGTTGGCGTTCTCCCAGACAGATGCTCCTTATCGAGCAATGCAGCATCAGATTGGATTATTGTCACTCTAGAACAGTGGTGTGAGACACGTGTTCCTGCCTACGCTCATTACGGCGTTGTGATAGGTAGCGCAAACAATAACTCCGCTTGCTCAGTAGGCTACACACATATACTCACAGTCTCACACCTACCATTCGCACCCGCCTTGCACTACTTCTCTCCATTCATTCGACGGTCGAACACGCGCGTTGTCAGTGTACTCACATCATACTCAACATACATGAGATCAGTGCATCAACACGCATACACCATCCACGACGTACGACTTACGCATACATTAGCCACAAGACTAGCGGCGTTCACTCATGTACTGACCTTGAGACATGAGAATCGACCTGACTCGCATACAGCAGCCGCGACTGTTCACTTATACACCGACCATGAGACAGGTGAAAGTAGAGCCAAAGTCCGATCGTATTGTCATGCTTCTGCTTACTGTCAAGATCCGGATTCAAAATTGAGCACATAAACATCCTTCTGAGGTCTGCGACAAGACTGGTTCAGAAGCACCCATCTCAGGCCATCAGTAACCCCCTTAAATTACACCCTCCAGGGCCTCCACATCTCTCACCACCCCCCACAATCACACCCCAAGCCAATCCCACCCCGCATCACTCCATTTCCCCGCATAGCAGCAGGCAGTACATGCAACAACAATCCCTGAGCTCCTGATCTCCGCTAAAGCAATACAACTAGCCCTCCAGCTGCACACACGCACAGACGGGGATAGGGGTTTAGGCCAGGGTGTTCCCAGGGTTTAGGGTTTAGGGGTTTAGACTACCCCATAGTAGGCTACCAGCTAGAGTGAGGAAATTCAGAAAGCTCACCCCTCAGGGACACAGAACCACCAGAGGTATAGGTTTTAGAAAAAGCTGAGGTTAACCAGAGGAAGTATACAGGGCTGATGAGCAACAGGCCTTCAAGCATAGCAGTCAGCAAGCAGCTGAAAAGAACACAGCGACCACCAGCACAAACATTAGGAGAGAGAAACACCCTAAGGGGGAACAGAATAGCGATCCAAGTCAGGGAGCATCTGCACAGTAGCAATAGGCTAACTTCGGCAGGGGTGAGGGGTTTAGGGTTTAGGGTTTAGGGTTTGGTACATCCTTCCAGAATGGAAGCAATCAATGCTGCCTGCCAGGGTCTCCCAACCATAATGGGGGGAAGCGTCTTGTGTGTGTTGTATCGTGCGTTTATGACTTGCCGGTGGAACAGGAACTGGAGAGATGCTCACGGAAAGGAAAAGGAGCCAGAACCGTAAGGTTTAAAAAGAAAAAAGAAAAAAGAAAAAGACTGGCTTAGAAGCACGCCAATAGAAAAAGGATACATTTGACATGGTGAGAGAAATGGTATCGTGGAAGATGAGGGAGAAGCAACTTGAGCATTCTACTCATTGGTAAAATTTGTAAAGGTATTTCCAAACTCTCTTGATCTTTTCTTCACACTTCTTGTTGTTCATTGCTATCTCGTTGTGGTGGTAATCATTGATTTCAGCCTCGTGAGTTCATGTCTGACTAGATTGTGAGCTTCTGAAGTTGGATTCATTACATTACCGTCATTGCAAATGGATTTTGGCATAGGCCAACTCCCATCATGTAATGGCTATTGAGGAACATCACGGTCACGCACAGTGCATGATCATTGTGTCATCCTCCCTTATGGATCTCATGCCATCCCACACAAGTGTCCTCATCATACACACTGTCATCACCCAATCCCTTCTCCTCCTCGTCCTCTCCGTCCTCTAGCAGCATCGCATTCTGTGGATTCCTCTCTCTCCTCCTCTTCCTCCTGCTCCTTGCCTTGTCCTCCTCCCCCGCCGATCATCTCGTTTGTCATTCTTGTTAGACTCGGCGGCAATCTCCTCGTCCACCTCATCCTCTTCATCGCACTACCCCCCCCCCCCCCCCCC